GTGTAGATGGGGAGGATCACCTCTCTGGACTGGCTTGAGATGCATCTTTGGATGCATGACAAGGTATGGCTGGCCTTGCTGGCTGCGGCCTGGCATTGGTGGCTCATGTTCATTTTGGAGTCAATAACGACTCCAAGATCCCTTTTCACCTCTGTGCTTTCAAGAAGGGAACTCCCCAGCCTGTATGTGTGCTGTGGATTCCTTCTCCCCAGGTGCAGCACCCTGCATTTGTCTACGTTGAACCCCATCCTATTCTCATCTGCCCACTTTTGTGCAGTGCAGCAGACTGAAATAAGGAGCAGACCTGTTTCCAGATAGTTGTGGGCTGTAAGGCATAGTTCAGAGGTGGCTGACAGTGTTCATATGAAATCAGGCAAAAGGTAGAGCTTGACCGCATCATGCCTCTTTGAACCAGTCAGTCTCTAAGGTGCCTCCCTGCTTTGTGAAGCCCCAGCCACAGTTTGAGGACTGCTGTGCTGCACCGTGCTAAGTAAGATCAGTGAAAGGTGTTTGGAGAGAACCCTCATTAGGCTTTCAGAGAGGCAAATTCAAGCCAGACAGTATCCTTGCTTGTGGAGTCAATGGAGGCACAAAGCTCAGTGCAGTGGGGATGTCATCCATGATGAGGACATTTAGGTGCTATTACAAATTAAAATAACAATATTCATAACAATCTATGACACTCCTCAATATGAAGAAAGGAATCTGGCCACATGACTCAAGTTTTGGGCCGGTTTCCCATTTATTATCAGTTACAGTGGAAAGGCGAGGGCTTCCTTTTTACTATTAGCACCCTTCATAATCCTCTATATTGCAATGCACTATATTTCCTCAAGCAATTAAAAAAACCGCATAAAACATTACACAGGCTTTACAAACAGAGACAAGGGACTCATTAGGGAAGTCCAACAACAAGCTTGGCACCTGTGGAAGAGACCTTAATGCAGCCCTCTAGCTATCACCTTCACTAAATGGCTGGAACATATATGGTTGCCTTGTTGGTGCATACAGAGGGATTCACATCATGGATAAAGAAAGCAGGAGCAATAATCCTGCTTATTCCAGGCCTCCTTACAGTTCTGAACTTAATATTGCAGCTGGCAATGAAAGCATGGCTCAGGGTAC